CCCCATTTGACATTAGACGCTGTTACAAGAAAAATTAAACTGGTACGATAATGGGCATGTGAGTGCTGACGATCAAGAAGATTCACATAGCCCTGGCCAGTTTGCTCAGTGGTTAGAGCGTTGGCTTGCGGGTTTGATTCCGGCCCGGGGCACGTACCTCGGTTGCAGTTTGTCCCCGGCTCCAGATGGGGTTGTACGGGTGGCAACCAATCGATGTGTCTCTCTCTCATGTCGATGTTTCCCTCTCTCTCTCCCCCCACCCCACTCTGTCTGAAGATAGATGTAAAAATATCCTCGGGTGAGGAATATAAAAAAAGAAGATTCACATACACCAGGAACCCACACATCCGAGGGAGGAAGCCCAGTGGAGGCCGTGGGAGCCTGATAAAGGAACAGAAAGACAGAGTGAACACAGGGCGGTGATGAGCCTGTAGGCCCTGGGCTCCAGCTGGGGGGCGAATGCCCCACAGATCCAGCAGAGTCTAGGGCAAGATGAAAGAAGTAAAGTAAAAGGTGGAACCTCCTCTTTAAACCTAAGTGTGAGCCAAGGAATGGCTAGGGGAGAGGTGGAAGCGCAGAGAGTCCTGGGAAAAGGAGCTGAACTATCTTTGGCTCGCGGCTGCCTGGAAGGAAGGCTGGCCACAGCAGATGCACTGTCAAAACACTCAGAGGAAAGATAAACAGGATCCCACAAAGGCTCTGAAACAGCGGTTCTTAACCTTTGTTGGGTCTCTGACCCCTCTGAAAATATGATGAAAATTCTCTCCTTGGAAAAAGAGCGTAAATGTTCCCACAGGGGTCTTTATGGTGAAGAATCTCTGTTCCTGTCGCCAGAGGAGTGGATGGTACTCACAGCTGAACTGCAAACACCTAAATAAGGAAACAGGCGGGGAAGGGGCTGAAAGAGGCTGATGGAGCTGAGGGGAGAGACTGCTGTAGGGTTCTTAGCCATCACGGTGGAAGGAGGGGTAGCCACAGCAAATTATGGATAAAAGTGTGGCAGGGTACTGTAGGAGCAGGCCAAGAAGGCATAAGTCTAAATGAGGTGGGATTTTTTTTTTCATGTTAAAATTAATAAAAATAGGCTGTATGTATGTTCAGAGCACCAAGAACAGGAAGGACCAGCAGTGTGGCATTAGCTGAACCCTCCCCAACCTCTGTTTTGACCTCAATTCTGTCTTTTCTGTCAAGAAGATTAATTTCCAGACTCTAACATGTGCAACTACATTGCTAAGAAGGAACTGAGCCCCAAGATAGAACAAGTTAAACAGCAAATGGCCATGTTAAATGGATTCAAGAAACTTGGCCTAGAACAAGTGCCCGCTGGGAGGTACTTCACTGGGGAAAGAGGAGATTCCAACTTCTGTCATAGAAAACCAAGGGCCAGTGGATGAAAATCTCAGGGATGTAAATGTCAGATTCCTACTAGAAAAACTATGAATTAGAGTTTTCCCCACATGGAGAGGACTACCTAGGGGGTCCCATGTCACAGAAGGTGCTGGGTGATTGGGTAGAGGGCCTTCATGGAGGGTTTGAACTGAAAGTCTCTTCTAACCCTGAAAGCCTATGAGTCTGCAGCTGTACAAGGCGAGGGGAGAAAAGAATGAGTACTTTCTCAGGATACCTTTAGATTTTTTTTTTTATCCTCACCTGCATTTATCTTCAGATACAGCAGGTGAGATAGAGGGAGGAAGAGAGAGAGAGAGAAACATCGATGTGAGAGAGATACACATCGAGTGGTTGCCACCCACACGACCCCAACCAGGGCTGGGGAAAAACTGCGACCAAGGGACGTGCCCTTAGCGGGAACCAAACCCAGGACTCTCAGGTCCACAGGCCAACGCTCTAACCACTGAGCCAAACCGGTCAGGACCCTTTAGATTTTTTTTTTTAATCCTCACTTGAGGACCTTTTTTTTCCATTTTTTGTTCAGATAGAGTGAGAGAGAGAGAAGAGAGAAACATCAACGTGAAAGGGACACATCGAGTGGCCGCCACCCACACAACCAACCAGGGCCAGGGACAAACTGCAATCGAGATACGCACCCCCAGCAGAAACTGAACCCGGGTCTCTCTGGCACGCAGGCCGATGCTCTAACCACTGAGCAACCAGCCAGTGCCCTTTTAGATTTTTAAACTTCGCTTCTCTACCTCTGAATTGGTGCACATCACTCTGGAGTGTGATTCCTACTCACCTCTCCACCCTCTATCTTTCTTCTCTTTTCCTTGGATATTGTTCTGCTCTCCAGGTCTTTTTCTCACTCTTCTTTTTTTTTTAATTTTTTTAATCCTCACCCGAGGACATTTTTGCAGGGGGGGCGGGGAGGAAGAGAGAGAGAGAGAAACATCGATGTGAAGGGACACATCGAGTGGTTGCCACCCGCACGACCAACCAGGGCCGGGGACAAACTGCAACCGAGGTACGTGCCCTTAGCAGGAACCGAACCCGGGTCTCTCTGTACCGCAGGCCGACGCTCTAACCGCTGAGCCAAACCGGCCAGGGCTCTCACTCTTCTTTAATTCTTATTTCTTTTTACCCAAATCTTTAAAGTTGACACTTTTGTACCTTCTATATAGAATCCCTCTCTCTGGGTTCTTGTCTATTTATATCTCATCCAAGTTTGCCACACCTCTTCCATGAAGCCCTCCTTGACCACTCCTCCTCTGAGCTCCTGCTGCTGTGATCCCACACCTTTCCCTTGATCCTTAGACAATATGGCCTAGTGTCCTTTCTTCTATTTTGTCTGATGATGTAGTTTCGCTTTTCACATGTAGATCATCTTTTCATCCAGTAGAGTACAAATTTATGTAGTGAAAGACCGTAGGTGGCTTTTTAAAAATCTCCTAAAGTACCTACTACTATGCATGCCATCATTATTCTGAATGAACGCTAGATTCTACCACTTACCACTTAAGATTCTATATACTATATAACAAGTGTGAAAAGAAAACAAATGGACTAAAGCTGGATATAGCAATAAGTTACTTTAGTTCTAAATAATCAGTATTTAGAAGAGCTAGAAGGGACATTAAAGATGAGCTAGTCAACTTCCTCATTTTGCAGCCTGTGGACAGAAGCTGAGTACGTATACGACTTGGGAGCAGAACTGGACTAGATGCCAGGTGTCTATGTTTCCAGAACAGGGTCCTCATTTTTTTTTTTTTTTTTTTTTATCCTCACCCGAGGACATTTTTCCATTTTTTTGTTCGGCTAGAGTGGGCGGGAGAGAGAGGAAGAGAGAGAGAGAGAAACATCAATGTGAAAGGGACACATCAAGTGGCTGCCACTCGTTCGACCAACCAGGGCCGGGGACAAACTGCAACCGAGGTATATGCCCTTAGTGGGAACTGAACCCTGGTCTCTCTGGACCGCAGGCCGACTCTCTAACTGCTGAGCCAAACTGGCCAGGGCCAGGGTCCTCTTTTTGATCTCTCATTGCAAAACTTTGGTGAGGGGTACTGAAGCAAGCTAATAGTTGTCTTTGAAAGTGAATAAAACCTCTACTCGCCTGCAGGCCTAGCAAGGGACTCAGTGACTTCTGAAGTTTCTCAGGGACAGGTTGTGCAAACGCACACCTGGGCATCTGAATGCATGCTGCTGCAATTGTGCCATCTAGTGGTATGAAGCAGATATTTTACCATTATCCATCTCCCCGAACACACAGTCTACCTTAAAAGCCTTAGTAACCAAAGAGCTTTTAGAGGATGCCAAACACATGAGGGCACCATGCTATATGCTTCGCTCAGGTGATTACACTCTAGGATCTCTATGGTCTCCTCTAGCTCAGATTAATTCAGTTCCCATTTGGCAATTGTGTTGAGGAGACTAAATTGTGGCCATTGCTAACTAGCAGGGACCTCTGGCAGTGGGAAAAGCTATAGGCTTTTGAAGAGTGGGACTATTTTGAATGGGCAGAAAGAGGAGTACATGTCAAGAGGGAGGGACAGGATGGACCAAGAGGTTGTGGGGCAAGGAGCGAGGAGGACAAGCTTCCCATTGGGCTCATGGAATCAGCCTTGGCTGGATTCACAGATATTCCACAAAGTTCTGCAGCTGAATGCCTTGACAGTTAGGGCAGCAGAAAGGCCATGAGAAGAAGTATCCAATCCACTTTGGGGGTCTAGGGGGCCCTATATAGGGGTGACGGGGCCGCTGAGCTCCAACACAAGTGTTTCTGCTCATGTGTAAGTGTGTCTTTTACTTCATTACACCATCTTTCTCCTTTTCTCCAGTTTCTGGTTTTCTTTTCTCTCTCCTTTCCCCACTTGCCTCTCCCCACTTCCCTGCCATCCCAGCCTGAGGTCTGTGCTCCCTTTGACCCCGACCCTTTCCGGGGCCCTGAGCTGGAATCCTGGGTATGGAGCCTAGCGTTTGAGCAGGGAGTCAGGGAGATGGCCAGAACACACAGGGCTTGTTTAGCTACCAGGGGCTTTGTACCTAAAGGGTCACATCAAGAAACAAGGAGCATAAACGAAACATGGTAATCATACAATGGAATATTACTCAGCCTTAAAAAGAAGGAAATTCTGACACATGCTAAAACATAGATGAACCTTGAGGACCTTAAGTGACATGAAATAAGCCAGTCACACAAAAACAAATACCGTCTGATCCCATTTACATGAGGTATCTAGAGCAGTCAAGTTCATAGGGAAGAAAGCAGAATGGTGGTTACCACCTGGAGGTGAGACAAGGTGGAGAGTGAGCCTTGGAAGGCATGGAAGTCCTCCTATTACAACTCCTCAAACTGAAGACCCTTCCAGAGCTCTCTGCTCATGGGTCTGATCCTCATATTTCTAGATCCATCGGGAGCCCCTGTCTCCTAGCTCCCAGATACTACTCATTTCTCTAAGGAATACACATGAAGCCTCAGGCTCTACATTTCTCTCTCTCTCTCTCTCTCTCTCTCTCTCTCTCTCTCTCACACACACACACACACACACACACACACACCAACTAAATTAATTAATTTTGAAAAACAACTCAGAGACTGGTGGGGATCAGGGAACGCAGCCCAGCCTTGCTGGAGCTGTTTATTTGCAGGGAGGGCTATGGGCCCATGAGGTCCTCGGGCTGTAGGGCAGTGTTAAGTCCAGGACGCCTACTCCAGCTCAGTCACTCTGGGCCTCTCACTGACTCACACTGGACAGGCTAGGTCCAAGGACTAGGCGCCTGAAAGAAAGTGCTAAATGGAAAGGGCACCTCTCCCTCCATACCCAGCCCCCATCACAGATCCCCCCCCCCATCACAGACCCCACATTCCTATCAGGACGGCACCAAGCCCAAGGGAACACAGGGGAGGGACTGAGGAACAGGGTCAAGAGCACAGGACAAGGACACTCTCTCCCACATGGGATCTGGCTTTCTCATCCCCAGGAACCTGTACGAGAAGCCCCAGCCTGAGGGAGAGAATGGCCTGGCCTTGAGAGACCCTGGGGAGGCAGGAGGATGTGACTGATGAGGGTCAAGACAGGGCGCAAAGACCAGGGAGGGCAGGAGGCTGGGCAGGAAGGGAATGAAGGGAGGAGACAGGAGCAGAGGGAGTGGGGAGGAAATGATGAGAGGGGCTTGGCTGCTGTCCAGTCATCATCCCCTGTAGTTTCCTTTTCGGGGGTCAGGGCTGGGGCAGAAGAGCTCTGTGGCCCCAGGAAGGGCCAGGATGGAGAGGCTGTACTCACCCTGGAGGGGCCTGCTTCACCCAGACATGATGTGCTTGACAAATGCTGGGAAAGACAAAAATCAGCCACTGCGCTTGGCCCTTTCAGCTCTTTATTGCCCTCTCGGCCCCTTAAACCTCTTCCTCCTTCCCTATATTGCCTGACTTCAAACCCTCCCACCCTTCTCCAGACTGATTCTTTCTCTTATTTGGGGGTTTCTGGGAGAAAGTGGAAGAGAAAAGAACCTCTGCCCTGTGTCCACTCTGTGCCAACACTTGACATAGGTGAAATAAGATACATCACCTCCACTAATCCCCGCAATCTTGAAAAAGGCGCCTACATCACCCCATTTCTCAGGAGAGAAAACTGAGGCTCAGAGAAGGTGACTCAATCAAAGTTACGTAATTCATATATCACAGAGCTATCTCCAAATTCCATGCTTCTTCCATTAAACCAGTGTGGAAAAGAACACCACCAAAGCCCATCTGGTGGCCATGTTTTCTAGCTCCTGGATCTGTTCTACTCTGCAGGCCTGCCTGGCTCACACTCTGCCTGCCCTCCCATTCCTGGGTACCCAGGGAAGTGAGGCATGACCTGGTACCTTCGTAATTGATGCAGCCATTGGCATCCTCTTGCCCAGCTAACAGCTGCTCCACTTCCGCCTCAGTCATCTTCTCTCCTGGAGTGAGAGTCAGTGGGCTCTTAATTGCAGATGGCAAAGGAGGGGCAGGAAAAACCCAAACAGCCTCTCAAGTCTGAAGGCCTAGGACTCCCTGATCTAGGAAGTGGTCATACCAAAGCCTTCCCCAAAGGCCCTGGAGAGTGGAGCCACAGGGTCTGAAGGCCCTTGGTAGGCCCTGAGGCCTCTCTCTGTGCCTTGCAGCTCTCACTGGGTGAGCAGACCAGGGCCCCAGTGACCAAGACAAAGACAAGGACAGGAACCCTTCGTCCCAACTCTCAGGCCTCAGCAGTCACCCCTGAGCTGCCAACCTGCTCCCCTGTTCTCCCAAGCCCAGCTGGGGCAGGTTGTTCCTGCAAAGCCCAGGGAGACGGCTGAATCAGGATATGATCCTCAGGAAGCAGAGACTCCCCAAATCTGCCACCCGGGCACCTCCCACCGCTTCATTGAGCCCCTTCATTCTGCCTCTTCCCAGCTGGCGCACCCAGGGTGGCAAGGACATGGCGAAGCTCAGCGCCCATGACTGTGCCGTTGCTCTCCTTGTCGAACACACGCAGCCCCTCCACGAAGTCCTCGTAGGTGCCCTGCTCCTTGTTACGGGAGATGTGCTGCAGGATGGGTAGGAACGTCTCAAAGTCCAGCATCTTGGCATTCATCTCTTCAGGAAGCATGGGGACGGAAAGAGAAGTGACAGGAGCAGAATCACAAGAGGAGCAGAGGGTCAGCAGGGGGCCTTACTCCAGCCCTGCTGCTCTAGGACCCATCCCTGGCAGCACCCAGGGTGTAGTTACAGCCACTTCAGGGGGGAAGGGGCACCCGGTTGGTGATCCTGTGGGGCACAGAGCCCACGGGAGCAAGGCAGGAGGCTGGCTCTGGGGTACTCTTCTCAGTGAAAGAACTGGGGTGGAAGCAAAAAGGAACCAGACTCCACCCAGACTGAACCCCAAGTGGTCAGCCAGGCTGGGGGCTGAAGGTGGCAGCAACCGAACCTGAGGGACCCAAGGGACCACACGGCCCAGCCCTCACATTCACAACTTAGACTTTGGACATGTGATAGACAATGGTCACAGAGGTAAACTGCTAAGATTGCAAAAAAAAATTGCATAGCTCGCCCTGGCCAGTTTGGTTCAGCGGTTAGAGCATCGGCCCGTGGACCAGAGAGGCCCTGGTTCGGTTCCCGCTAAGGGCACGTACCTTGCAGTTTGTCCCTGGCCCTGGTTGGGGTCGTGTGGGTGACAACCACTCGATGCATCTCTCACATCAATGTTTTTCTCTCTCTCTCTCCCTCCAACTCTATCTCAAGATAAATTCAAAAATGTCCTTGGGTGAGGATAAAAAATTTTAAAAACTGCATAACTCAGCATTTGGGTCTCATTACTAGACCACACTGCCTGGAGCTACTCTGAATCAATCATTTTTATAACCTGCAATTCTCTTGTAACTAGCACACTTCTCTCATATCGTAGTGTGTGAAAAGCTTCAATTTAGTAGATGTTAGCCATTTCTAAATACCACAAATGTTGGCAATTGTTTCTTTTATAACAACACAGAAACCCCTCTGAAATGGAAGTGCCCAGGTATCTTTTGACCTGCAAGAAGCCCTGCTGACAGGAGCAAGCTCCTGGTCCTCTGGCCCTTTCCTGCCACATCCTTCACCCCGCCTGGTGTCTTCACCCGCTAGAGGAGGAGGGGAAGGGGTCAGAACAAGGAGGGGGGAGGGGACCAATATGAGGCTCAGGAAGCCTCCAGAGATGGCTCACTCTAGGTGGGGTGCTCCTGCCCAGGTCTGCCTGGCCCCACCTGGTGCCCACACTTCTGAGGAGTAGGACCTGGGTTAACAGGCAGCCGTTAAATTTACTGCCTCACATGAGGGATGGCATTCACCAGCACACTCCTTGCACCACTTTCTAAACTCCCATTGGTCGAGTGCAAATGAGTGCAAGAGGCATCATTCTAGAGCTTATCTTGAATCTGCTCTAAAATTATGAGTCATTGCAATCCTTGGTGCTTTAACCATTATCAGAAACAAATTGTTTGTGACAAAACTCACAAGGGTCACAGGATATCTCAATGCTGTGACACATGGACTAAGGGCTCCTGGGTGGGGAATGGGGGCGGGTGGTTAGTTATCAGATTCCCACCAAGCCTCCCTGCCCCAGTGTCCCTGGCACCCTTGCGTGTCAGAGGAAGATAGAATGTCGCTCCTACCCTCCAGGAGCAAACCCAGGTCACATTCTTCAAGGGTCAGCTAAGTGCTTTGGGATAGACTGTCCACATAAGAGGCATGTAACTTGGGGAGGGGAGGCTGGTCGTAAAGGGCTGAAGGGGGAGAGGGAGAGAGCGGCCGCCAGGAGGCAGATCTGGGCGAGAGCCCCAGAGGCTGACCTTCAGGCTTGGGCTTGCCCAGGACGCGCAGCACCTCGGCGTTGGTGGGGTTCTGGCCCAGCGCCCGCAGCACGTCCCCACACTGCCCGTAGGTGATCTTCATGTCTCCAGTCGGGGTCCGATCAAACAGCGAAAAAGCCTCTTTGAACTCTGCAGAGAGAAGACGCAGCTGCAACCCCCACCCCCGCCCCCCACCCTCCCCGCCGATGGCTGGGGACTGATCAGTCTCCATCCACCGGGGCTGAAGAGCAGGTCAATATGGCTTATAAAATATTTCAATATTTCCCTCCCAGGCTCTTCCTGGCGCCACACCCACCTTGTTTTCTGACAATTAAAGAGGCAGCCTAGTGCCTCCGTGGCTTGTTCTAATGCTGGGCCCAGGATCTCTGCTATCAGTTGGTTGTCACATAGTGAATGTCTCTCACCCACCCATCCTTCCCTGGTCTAGGTGAGAATCCTGACTATTGAAAATGGCAGGGAGGTGAAAACAGCACTTCAGGAGTCGGGATTCTCGGCTTCTCTTTTGGCTTTGCACAGTTTTGCAAGATAAAGCCTGCTATTCTGTTTTCTTGCGCACCCCGGGGAGCAACAGCGCCACCCATCGGGCCACCACTCTCAGTTACTGGGAGTGTCAAAGGAAGTAGCTAGCGTATGTGGAAGCAATCTACAAAGTGATACGACCTGTTAAAAAGTCAGTTAATTAATATCCTGTTCCAGGGTGAAAGGGGACTCGCAGGCCAGACAAGGTGACATGGTGGAAACGGTCAAACCACCCAGCTCTGCCGCTGACCAGCCGGTGGCCTTGGGCAAACTACTGACCTAGGAAGGCCCTCCTTTTCTTCGCTCTGAGTGGGGATACAATGTCCACCTGAGTGGGTTGCTGGGTGCCGGGAGGGGTTACAAATGGTGGTCACTACCGTATTTCCTGGTTCTCAAACCAGCTTAGACCTACATGGACTATACTCCCTGAAGGGACCAGGGCAGGTGTTCAGGGGGCAAGGCTGAATTAAGGCACTCGCAAAGAACTTTAATTCCTCACTAATTTGGTTCACGCAGTTTATTACTGGGGATGATTTGGACTGGGAATGGCATTGAAGTTACCTTATGCTATCTGCCAAGAAATGGTTTACTAAACAGATTAACTATATAAAGCAAAGAAGAATGTGTCAACAGCTTAGGAGAAAAGCCATGTTTAATCCTCTCTAAGTACTTTAGAAACAATTATTTACTTAGAGGCTGCATATGGATTATTTACAAATCATTCCACACATCAAAGCAGGTTCCCCAAAACTTCTACTTGCAACTCTTCATTAGGCTTCGGATGAGTTTAACAGATGTAAAACCGCATGTCTGTCACATTACTGAATAATTGAGTTCAAATCCCATTTCCATAGCTTACTAGCTGTGTGACTTTGGATAAGTAAATATTTAACCTCTATAAATCCTCTTCTATAGATGGCACCTATCTCACAGGGTTTTTTAATTATGTCCAAATTAAACACAATAATTTATGTAAAAAATCTTAACACAGCCCTGGCAGGTTTGGCTCAGCGGTTAGAGCGTCAGCCTGCAGTCCAGAGAGACCCAGGTTCGGTTCCCACTAGGGGCGCGTACCTCGGTTGCAGTTTGTCCCTGGCCCTGGTTGGTCATGCGGGTGGCAGCCACTCGATGTGTCCCTTTCACGTCGATGTTTCTCTCTCTCTCTCTCTCTTTTCCTCTCTCTCCCTCCCACTCTATCTGAACAAAAAATGGGAAAGTGTCCTTGGGTGAGGATAAAAAAAAAATCTTAACACGATGTACATAGTAAATTCTCAAACAATGCTATTAGTATTATTTTACTGAATTTAATCCCAATTTTACCACTTAACTACGTGACCTTGGCCAAGTCACTTAACCTCAATAAACCTTGGTTTTCCCGCAGTGATAAGGAAATAACATCGATCTCACAGCTTTGTTAGACGGTTTAATTTTTTTTTTTTTTTTTTTTACTTCTGAAGCAATTAGCTTGCCTCTGGCACAAATTCAGTGCTCAATAAATGCATATTTGTTCATTGAATCTGAACTCAGACTTTTCTATCTTATCCTGATTCATTCAAAAGAGTGAAGTCAGAGTTAATGAAAGAAGGAGTATCCTCATAAAAGAAGAATAGAATGATACCTAATAGGAGAATGGAACATAAGGAGGAAAAGAATACGAGCAACCTATGATTTGAGCTAATAATTTTGCATGGTTTACCTCATTAATTTTTATAAAAACCTAATGCGATAGGTATTATTATCCTCATGTTAGACCAATACAGATGTGACTTCTGACCAGCTATTAAGGAAACCAAGGAAATAGTGAGGAAGAAGGAGAAGGAGAAGACCTGCAGTACCTGCTAATGCTCCAGCCTGCTGGGAAACCTGGTACACACATAAAAACCGAACACTGGAGTTTAGGATTGCTACCAGAAAAAAACAAAGCCAGGGTGATCATCAGGTGTCTGAGAGGTGATACTAATGGGCTCAAAAGAAATCTTTTCTCAATAATCTGTAGTAGTCAGCTGTTTTCTGGAGCAATGAGCAATGGTAACCCTTTTCTAGAAGGACATGGAAATCTGGAGAGGGGCCAGAGAAGGAGGTCAAGGATTAAAAGCTAGTTTCCAGGAGAAAAAACAAAACAAAACATGCCTGGCCAGTGTGGCTCAGTGGATTGAGCATTGTCCCATGGAATGAGAGGTCCTGGTTTGATTCCCGTTCAGGGCACATGCCCAGGTTGTGGGCTTGATCCCCAGTGGGGGTCATGCAGGAGGCAGATCGATGTATCTCTCACATTGATGTTTCTATCTCTCTCTCCCTTCCTCTCTCTCTCTAAAAAATCAATAAAAACATATAAAAAAAATAAAAGAAATTTGGGCCATATCACTTGGAGAATATAAAGCTACAAAGAGATTTGATAACTATCTTCAAATAGATGGCGGGTATCTAGAGGAAGCTGAACAGAGTCACAGAATTTCTGAGTCAAAAAGCACCTTACTCTGAAGATAAGAAAATTATGGTTTAGAAAATGTCTTGCTCAAAGTTTCATGGTCATAGTGGCAGAATTTGGGCTAATACCAAAGTCTCCTAATTTCAAATAATGTTCTTTCCAGCATGAGAAAACCATCTTCAGCTTCATCAATAAGCAAATAAAGAGATAGCAGGGGTAATTAAAGCAGAAACAATTCTGACCCAACATAAGGAAGAATATCTTTTTTTTTTTTTTTTTTTTATCCTCACCCGAGGATATTTTTCCATTTTTTGTACAGATAGAGTGGGCGGGAGAGAGAGGAAGGGAGAGAGAGAGAGAAACATCGATGTGAAGGGACACATCGAGTGGCTGCCACCCACATGACCAACCAGGGCCAGGGACAAACTGCAACCGAAGTACGTGCCCTTAGCGGGAACCGAACCCGGGTCTCTCCGAACCGCAGGCCGACGCTCTAACCGCTGAGCCAAACTGGCCAGGGCAAGGAAGAATATCTTTAAAGTCAGAGTTAGGGCCCCAGCCCTGAAAATCTTCATGGAGAAAAGAAGCAACTGGCTGTCCAGTTGGCTTTGACCATGATTCCTATTTGAAAAATGAAATATTCTTATCATTACTTGATTTTCTAGTCCTCCTGAGTTGGATATACACAAAAGTATACATTTAACTAAAATGCATTAATATTCATCTTAAGAATTTTACAGCACCCCAAACTACTGACTGGAAGCAAGTGTCCACAGGGTATTGCAAAAACAGAGTCAGAGTCAATTCACTAGTTTCAAAATGCATCTGCCAGCTGTCATGCCCTATCCGTAGGCAAAAAGGGCATTAGGCAGTAACAATTACAGTTTAAAATGCACATATCCTTTGACCCACTGCTAGGAAGGTCCCTGGAGAAAGCAAGTTGATATTCCCCAACTGAAAACAACCTAGAGGTCTCTCAACATAGGCCTGATTAAATTAAAAGGGACATGAATGCCCTGGCCAATTTTGCTCAGTGGTTAGAGCATTGGCCTGTGGACCAAAGGGTCACAGGTTCAATTCCAGGTCAAGAGCATGTACCTGGGTTGCAGGTTCGATCCCAGGCCCTGGTCAGGGTTGTGCAGAAGGCAACCAATCGATGTGTCTGTCTCACATCAATGTTGCTCTCTCTCTCTCCCTCACTGCCTTCCACTCTATCTAGATAATCAATGAAAAAATATCCTCGGGTCAGGATTTTTAAAAAAAGGATGTGCATGAGTGAGAATCTATATAATTGCTTAAACAAATTAAAAAGTAGAACTGATTGTGTTAGCTATAAAATATATATCTAAATATATTATTAAATAATGTATTATATATTATTAAATCCAAGTACATATTAAATAAAAGATATGGAACAGTATGTATCATGTGATTTGATTTGTGTAAGCTTTATACATACGTACATACTGGTATATCACTATATATTTTTCTCAGAGAATGAGCATGAAAGGAAAGTAAGGACAAATATTTTTATTTTTCATTATTTACATTTAAGTGGTATATAATTTTTTTTACCATGTGCATATATTAGTTTAATTTTTAAAATATAGTATGTGCTTAAAATCAAGGGGTTGGATCAGGTGAACCTTCAAGGTCCTTTTCAAATCCTATGATTTTATGCCTGAAGGGCATTTGGTGGGGAAATGGAGATAAGTTGCAATGACAGTGAGCCCCAGCTGTGAAGTAGATACATATTATTAAACATTTAATTCTTAAAACACCAGAAGATGGGTTAAGGGACAACCATCAAGTTGAAGGGTGAATGGAGATCTTAAGCTTGTCTTGAAGCTACACTAAATAACACTTTATATAACACTGAGAAAAATAAATTGCTTTCATCAAAGATGGAGAAGCGTGGACTAGGGCGTCTCCAAGTCACTGTTGGCCCTGCCACCATTATTGAGTGACCATCCTGGCAGACTTCAGGAGGAGAGAAGAGGAAGCTGGTAATCTGAAGGAGGGCTTCCCATGAACAGGAACAGAAATGAGGGCTTCTAAATATGTTGAAAAGTAGACTTGGAGGAGTGGAGGGAATAAGAGGCATTTTTGCTGGGCATCTATTATGTTCCAGGTGGTCTGGCAGAGCAGCTGAGAACTCAGGTCTGGAATCAGACTGCCTGAGTTTGAATCTAGGCTACACCACCTACTGCCTGTGTGAGACTGGGCAAGCCACCCAACTTCTCTGTGCCTCAGTTTTGTCACCTGTAAAATGGGGTGGTAATAGTTCCTACCTCACAGGGTTGTTGTGAGAATTAAATGAGCTAATGCATGCTTAAGTAATAACATGTAGTAGGCAAAAGTGAGCAAATAGTAAATCTATAGCAAATATAAGTTTGCCATACGATGATGATGATTACTATTATGATGATGACAACTCCTCCTCCTCTTCCCTCTCCTTCTCCTCCTCCTCCTCCTCCCTGTCCTCCTTCTCCTCCTCCTCCTCCCCTTCCTCCTTCTCCTCCTCCTCCTACTCCTCCTCCAGGAAGTACAACAGAGAGGGTGTGGTAGGCCCTAGCCAGTTTGGCTCAGCGGTTGGAGCGTTGGCCTTTGAACCAGAGAGTCCGGGATTCGGTTCCCGCTAGGGGCACATACCAAAAAAAACTCCACAAAACTTCAGCTTGAAAAATAAAGAGCAGAAAATAAAAAAGAGAGGGTGTGGTGGAGTGGTGGGGTGTTACACTCACCTTCAATCTGGTCAGCAGTGAAGTCTATCTGTGGGGAGAGAAACACAGAGGGATGAGACTGCCAAAGACTTCCAAAGGGAAGCAGAATTGGCTTCCACCACAGTCAGGTCACCTCCAACAGCCCTGGCGAGGAGGGAAGGAGACTACGGGGTAAGAGTAAAACACCAGGCTCCTGACGAATGAGACACAACTGACAGGGTATAAAATAATTCAGCCTCCAAATCTTTCCCAATACTATTTGTTAAGTGATGACTCCCCCAAGTGAAATACCCTGGATAACTCCAGAACCCACACTCACTTCCTATTATAATACCTTTGGGTCAAGTGTACATTCCTTGTCCTCACTTTCATTCCTTCAGACTCTCCCTGCTCCACAAGCCACACTTCGTCTCCTTTTGGGTGTCCCCCACTCCTCATTCTTGGCCTCTCTTTTCTACCTTGTGTTGACTTTAAGTCACCTCGTTCAATGAAACCTTCCCTCACCCATTCCATCCAGCCTCTCCTTAGCACACTCCCTCTTAGGCACTCTGGGACAGCAAGAGTAGTTTGGGTGGACCCTCGATACTTTGTAACTGTTTTCCAGTCATGCCTGTGTGTGTATCCTGGCTCCATGAAGCCAGGGTTCCTGCAGGGCAGGAATATTTGTTATTGTTCATGGAAATTCCTGGCATGGAGTAGGCACTCAAAAAAAATATTTGTTGAGCAAAGGAATAAACTTTGGATCCCCCTTCCCAATGCATAATAATTTAAATCTGAGTGCAGAAGAGGAAGGTAGGAGGCTCTGAAAAGAATGACTGTGACTAAGCATGAGTCATCATTTCCATTTGGGATCTTGTATGTTTCTTCATTGTTCTTATGTACCACCACCACCCTGCTAAAATGCCTTCTCCGCTGTAACCAGTGGAGGTAACCAATCCTGGAGCACTTTCTTTATTTACCACCATTCCTAAGTCCTAATTTGAGCTGTGCTGTGCCCACCCCAGGCTGACCTCTGTTAATGAGGTCAGCAGGTGGCTGAAGTGAGCTGGGAGAGCAGAAGAGGGGTTACACTGAGTTGGGAAGGGAACTGGCTGGGAACAGGAAGGGACTCTGCCAAAGATGGGGGGTCAGGAAGTTAAAGGAACCCCCTAAATGGGCTAAAGGATGTTTTGCATGAACTCTCTGAGAAAAAGGTACAGTTTGCCTTACTTTGCAATTCTTTAAGTTTCAAGAGCATACCTGTAAGAAAAATTAGTAGAAAGACATAGCATTAGAATATATGATCAGAACCACACACTTTGGAGTTGTTACTTTTGCTCTTTCTTTGAGCAAAGAATCTGCTAAGCAAAGGAACTGAGAAGTACAAATAATAGACAAAATAGCCTTCATGAAAGACTCCTACTTTTTTTCCTGCTTTAAAGAAACTTTATAAACCTGCAGGAGTGGAAGATCCAGACATGGAAAAGAGGACTGAAACCAGGGGAAAGCAGGAGAGCTGGGTGGATGGAGGGAAGTGACAGGCCGAGGGGAAGCATTCATCTGATACCACCAGGCAGCTGTTGCCAGACACCAGGGACCGGGCCTGGCAGTGAGTACCCTGCAGGAGTGGTGTATTATCAGAACAAATCAGAAATAAAGCGTCTTGCCGCGAGATAGCTTTTCTTGCCAGGCTCTGCCAATAGAGGGACTGATGCTTGACCTACAATACCTGCAGATATTTTTAAGATCTTACACTATGCCTCGGTTTCCCCAGAGTGTGCCATAACCAAGTTCAGGGATGGGGCAACTGCCTCCAACTCCTGGTCAAGCCAGCTCTGTTTAACTCCTACCCCTTGGAGGCATTACCACAGGTCAATCCCAGAGTCCTTGGCATAATCGCAGGGTCTCTGGGACTGTGGGAGCTAGGGGGAATCCTGAGAGGGCCAGTGAAGGTCATCCAGTGAAAGCCCAGGGTTATAGTTTCAAACCTGCTTGTCACAGAACCTTCTCCTGAGCTCTTATTTTGCTCTGACTCCTCGCCACCCCCAGCCCTGACCTCATGCTGATATTCCCAGGGACCCACCACGCCCAACCTGCTATTAATAGCTCTTCATACCAGTGGCCACTTGCCCTCTTACATTCTGGTGCCAAGGCTTGAAACTGCTTCGCTCTCCAGAGGCCTCTGACCTGTTCCTTCCTAGGCCCATCCCCTCCCAGTTCCATTCCTTCCGCAGCTGGGACAGAGAGCTGGGAGGCCTGAAATGACTGAGTCAGCAGTAGGGCCTACACCAACTCCAGAAAGAGGAACCTTCCAGGGTCAGGGGAGCAGGGCAGGGCAGAGAGGGAGTAGGGCTAGGACAGCAGAGGAAACCAAGCCCAGCAGACTCGCCAGGTTGGAGAGAGGGTCTCAGCTGGGATGGGCCAATGCTCTGCATACGCCAGACAGGAGCCCAGGCTGAGGCCACAGAAGGAGAGGCCCACCTGGGTAGGGAAAAGAAGAGGAAACCAGGCTTTTCTCACCTTATCTAGAGCCTCGCTGCTCATGCCCACCCACTGCAAGAGTCTTTGGGAGTGAAACCTTCTCCTCACTACTGACATCACTGACTGCCAGTTCCACTGGCAGTTATCATTATGCGTCTTTTCTCCTATAGAAATCAGACCACCGCCCTGGCCGGTTTGGCTCAGCAGTTAGAGCGTCGGCCTGCGGTCCAGAGAGACCCGGGTTTGGTTCCCACTAAGGGCACATGCCTCGGTTGCAATTTGTCCCCGGCCCTGGTTGGGTCGTGCGGGTGGCAACCACTCGATGTATCCCTTTCACGTCGATGTTTCTCTCTCTCTCTCTCCCTCCCACTCTATCTGAACAAAAAAAAATGGAAAAATGTCCTCGGGTGGGGAGAAAGAAAGGAAGAAAGGAAGAAAGGAAGAAAGGAAGAAAGGAAGAAAGGAAGAAAGGAAGAAAGGAAGAAAGAAAGAAAGAAAGAAAGAAAGAAAGAAAGAAAGAAAGAAATCAGACCACCTCTGAGGAAAGGGTCAGTTTTTACTTCATTATGGTGGCCCCCAAAATGCCTTTAAAAAGTTTGAATGGTTGTACCTCCCTGCCATTCCCAACTCTGCTGGGCAAATCAGGGTGGCAGAGCAGCGCTTCCTCAGACAGAGCAGAAACCTGCTCTCAAGGGGCAAGGCTGACAACCAGAAACGCCCTTCACCAGCCCCAACACCTGCTCGCCCAGGACTGTGATCTGGGGCATGGACACCACAGCCTCACCCCAGTCCAGCCTCCTTGAAGTAGATCTTTAAGCTTCGGGCAAATAAGATCCTGAATGTCATCCCACCCCTATCCCAGTGGCCGAGGCTCACTCACCTTTACACTCTTGGGGTCAAAGGCAGGCTCCTTGGGAGGCTCAGGAGCTGGGGCAGGGGCAGGGGCTGGGGCAGGGGCTGGGGCTGCCTTGGCCGCTTCTTTCTTAGGCTCAGGCTTCTTCGGAGGCATGTTGCCTTGTTGGGATCTTCGGTGGAGGTGGTGCCTAGGAAGGAATCAAGAGATGCAGTGCCTCGGCAATGGGACAGGAGACTGGGCCGCCTCCCTCCCCTTTTATCCTGGGCAGGAGCCCCCACAGAGGGGCTGGGTGAGAGCAGGAGCAGCTGCTACTGACTATAAAAGGAAGAAACACCAGCAGGGGACAGCTGACAACTGTGTATTGTCACCAGGTTTGGTGCTACCAGCCCCCCTCCTTCTCCCCACACCTCACACCCCTCACTGCCTCTACCTCTGGAACAGGCTGACCCCTTCCTGCCAATGGGTGCAAACCCAGAGGGGCTGGGAAAACAGGCCCTCTCAAAAATGCCAGCATCCAGCCAGAGAGATGAGCTGCCTTGAGCAGTTGATAACCCTCACACAAAGCCCAGGGGAGGGTCAGGCTTTTTTTAGCCCCTCCTGAGCAGAGGCAGCCCACTGCACATTCCTTTTAAGTCAAGATCCTTTAAGCTGAGAGCCACTCTGGGGCCTCAGCTCTGTCCTGAGGCTCAACTCTCAGGCCCAGAGCCCTGCAGCAACAGCTGGTACGGCCAGTGCACACTGTCCCAGCCCCTCCCAACCCGCAGGGTGAACCCTCCATCTTCCAGAGCAGGCATCCTAGGAACTCCACAGACCTCAGATCCTTAGGTCCACCCCTACCAACCTTATTCATTCATTCGTTCAACAAGTATTGAGCACTTAACATGTGCCCAGGGAAACAGGATGAGAGGCAGAGAGGTGTGGCTGAAAGTTGATGAGACTGGAGGTCAGAAAACTCAGGTTGTATTTATGTATGTATGTATGTATGTTTTATTTATTTATTTATTTACTTACTTATTTATTTTGTTAATCCTCACTGGAGGATATTTTTCCAATGATTTTTTTTTAGATAGAGTGGAAGGGAGGGAAAGAGGGAGAGAAAGAAACATCGATGAGAGAGAGAGACACATGGATCGGTTGCCTCCCACATGACCCCAACCAAGGCCAGGGATTGAACCTGCAACCCAGGTACATGCCCTTGACCAAGAATTGAACCTCGGACCCTTCGGTCTGTGGGTCAACACTCTAACCACAGAGCCAAACCTGCGAGGTTTCAGGTCGGAGGTCTCATTTTTACTATACCTCTAACTTATTCTGTGCCCCTGAGATGTGTGTGTGTAGCGCTTACTGTGTACCAGACACTATTAAGTGCTGTTCATATAAAATCTCATTAAATCTTCATCGTAATCCTATAAAGCAGATATTATTATTGCTCCCTTATTACACATGGGGAAATTGAGACTAAAAGTGGTAACAACTAGCAAGATTACTCAGCTAATGAGCTGCATTAGAAGCCAGGAGTGTCTGATTCTAAAGCTTACGTTGAACGCTCCATAGTATAATCCAATTATGGGCATATGTTGTGTGTTCATCAGAAAGGTCAGGATGAATACACACTAAACTGTTAACAGGAGACATCCCTGGGGGCCTACGGGGTGAGGGTGGGAGAATGAAAGCAATTGGCAGTTTTTCACTTCCTGTATTCACAGAAATTTTTATAACGAGCGTATGCTGTTTTTGTAAAAAAAAAAAAAAAAATGTTGAAAGTCAATAAATGTTCAGAAAAACAACACAACAAAGCCTATCCACTGCACAGAATAGTTTTGAGCTGAATCTTGAGACTCTATAGTTCAGAGAATACTGAGAAATAACTCCAAGAAAGGCAGAAAAATCATTTTGCCTTTCTAGGCCCAGTTTCCTCACCTATAAAACCAGATTGCTAGACTACATAACACCTGGTCCCTGGAAGCTCCTAAACCTGCAATTACAGGTGACCTGGGACCCACATCTGCCCATCCCCAGTCTCTCAAAGCACAGGCTCCAAGTCTCAGATCTTTCGGAGCCCAAAGGGCACTTAGAGATCATCCCATTCCCACCTGGTTTTATAGGTGAGGAATCTAAGCTCGGGGAGACTTCTGAGCTACCTCAAGATGTACAGGCAGAGCTGACATCTAATCCTGGCCCTTTGTAAGGCTCTCTGACACCACCCTGCCCCTCCAGTAGCCTATACCTGCTCTCACTGCTGGTGGGCGGGAAAGCCTTCAAAAAACTGAGGCAGGGGCGGGGGTGGGGGTGGAGGCAGAGGGAGGGACCAGGATTTGCCCAAGGAGATACTAGAACAAGATCAGGGTGAAAACCATAGGCTAGTCCTGGTCCTGGGCTGGGGTAGAAGCTCATTTGCTCTTTTCCCCTCACATCTTTTCTTCTGCCTCCCCTTCTTTCTTCCTTCTGATTCTGTCACCTGCTCCTGGGTGTCTCTGCTTGGATCCTTCCCATTTCCCTGACCACTCACTGACTACCCTATTTCCCAGGAGGGCTGGGCACTCAGGTTGTTGATGAAGAAGGAAGAAAGAGGAAGCCTGGCCTCTCCCTCGTCTCTTCTCCCACTAGCATCCCTTCCTGGACCAGGTGTCCTGCAAGGCTTACAGAGATACACAAACTGAGGGGTCAGCAGGCCAGAAGCTGGACAACGCAGACACTAGTCCTGACTTTGCCAGGACTCCTCTCTGGACCTCAGCTTGCTTGTGTCTTCATTGAGAGATGATCAGGAGCTTTCAAATGGTGTTCAACAGACACCTAAGGCTCCCTGACTTGCTCCCATGGCAAGGGACACAGAGAGGCCAGGTTTTGGAGCCCCGCCCCCCGCTACTTCAACCAGCATCATTCCTGTGTGCTTTAAAGACTGGGAGGCGCCCTGGCCAGTTTGGCTCAGCGGTTGGAGCGACGGCCTGCGGTCCAGAGAGACCGGGGTTCGGTTCCCGCTAAGGGCACGTACCTCGGTTGCAGTTTGTCCCCGGCCCTGGTTGGGTCGTGAGGGTGGCAATTGCTCAATGTGTCCCTTTCACATTGATGTTTCTCTCTCTCTCTCTCTCTCTCTCTCTCTCTCTCTCTCTCTCCACTCTATCTGAACAAAATATCAAATAAATAAATAAAAAATAAAGACTGAGCGGCCCACAATCCTTTTCTAAGAAATGGTTCCATGGTTTAAAAGTTTTAAAATAACCACTGAATGAGATGCTCTCATATGTCCCCTTCCAGTTAAAAAACAAGTTATTCTAATCATTCTAGAAAGAAGTATGATCTTCAAAAGACATAGAGCTGGGAGGTGGTCCTTTCCTTTTCTTTATCTTCCTCTTCCCCTCCCTTTCCTTCCTTCCTCTCTCCCTCCTTCCCTCCCTTCCTCCCTTCTTTTTTCTTTCAATTCTAAGGCGAAGAAAAATCTCCAGTCTGCTTGGGAACAGAGCAATGAGGTTAGAAGGCTGGGAAGGCTGGATGGGGTGGGAGGGGCATCGGGAACACAGAAAGGATGTGGCCTTTAGCGCAGACAAGTATAGGTCTGAATCCTGGTTTTACCATCATTTCCTTGGGCCTGGTCCCCTCAGGACCTTTCATAGTAAACATTTCCTTCTTGAGTAGTTGTGAGAACCGTATGAAATAATGTCAGCAAGGCACCACAAACCATCTCTGGCACATAGAAAATATTCGTAGCTGTCATTTCTTCTCGCTTTCCCAGGCAGATGAAGCCGGAGGTATCCGATTTCCTGGAAAAAATTCCAGGAGAGGCGCCCACATGAGGGAGGAACAAGGTGTGGATTTAGGAATGAGGAAGGAGTGGAACGGAATGGAGGAGAGAGGAGGGCAGCAGCTGGGTACCCATGGTGCGAAATTTTTGTGGCTCAGAAAGCATGTAGCAGGCCCTGGCCGGTTTGGCTCAGCAGTTAGAGCATCGGCCTGCGGTCCACAGAGACCTGGATTTGGTTCCCGCTAAGGGCACGCACCTCGGTTGCAGTTTGTCCCTGGTCCTGGTTGGGTCATGCGGGAGGCAGCCACTCAATGTGTCCCTTTCACGTCGATGTTTCTCTCTCTCTCTCTCTCTCTCTCTCTCTCTCTCTCTTCCCACTCTATCTGAATAAAAAGTGGAAAAATGTCCTCGGGTGAGGATAAAAAAAAAAAAAGAAAGAAAGCATGTAGCAGGTCCCTGGGGCCAGGCAGACAAGGAGTCTGTCTGCCTGAAACCTTAGGTCACAGGCACTCCAGTGGGGGAGGATATGCTCCTCAAACCAGTTTCTAATTCTCTTTAAGGAAGCCCCGCTAAAAAATGTGGCACTTCAGAAGTGACCAGAGGAGAGCTGTGGTTTCCCAGAAAGAGCCACGTGGCAATAATCAAGACACCCGACACGAGCCTTGTTATTGCTAAAACGCATAATGCCCACAGTTCCTAAGAGCCCAGTAACCGGAGTCAGAGGTTTCACTTTCTCATGATCCTCATTCTGCTTCACGATCACTGACTTTCACCTTTAAATCTTATCCATCCAGAGTATCCTTCCCAGGGCTTATGACAGGGTCTTACCATCCATTGTATATTGACCAACCCAGAGCAAAGAAAAGGAAGAGAGAAGAAAGAGGCAGAAGTGTGGAGAGGCCAGTATGGTAGCAGGTACTGGCAGCCTAACAACTGCCCAGAGAGGCATCTACTGGTTCCCCAGCCAGAGTCAGTCCTGCCCACTCAAATGTTCCCACTGGCCTTGGCACGTGTGGCTCAGGTGGTTGAGCAAGTGTCTCATACACCAAAAGGTCACCTGTTCAATTCCCGGTCGGGGCACATGCCCAGGTTTTGAGTTTGGTTCCCGGTTAGGGTATATATAGGAGAAAATCGATCGATATTTCTCACATTGATGTTTCTCTCTCTCTCTCTCCCTCTCTCTCTTTCTGTCTCCCTTCCTCTCTCTCTAAAAATCAATAAAAAACATATTTTTAAAAATTTTCCCACCGGAAGGACTTCAAACTCAATGCATGGAAAACGCAAGCAGAATTTCACACCAACCAGTTTACACCTCATGCCAAATTCAGAGACAAATGCATAGAGGAGAAATGACATCAACCCTCACTTGGGCGGGGCTTGTGCACACTCACTCATCCCCCTCCCTTCACCTCTAACCATGTGGAGCCTGTGTTCTGCCCTGAGAGACATCCGTTAGAGTCTCCAGCCTGGGATCAAATGCTGCTGACAGCAGGTCTGGCCATTAATGCCTTGTCCTTGTCACCCTCCCTCCTCTCTTCTGACCAATGTCTCATTAGACACCACAGGGCAATGCCCTGGGCAATATAACATTAATCTGTCCATAGACGGTGCTGGGAAAATCAGACTCTGCTGCAAGGCAGGGGTTAAGAGGGCCCACTCAGGAGCCAGGCTGCCTGGGTTAGAGTCCTGACTAGGTTAGTTTGCTAGGCAAGCTAGTTAATTTCTTTATGTCTCAGTTTTCCCTTCTATCAAATGGGGCTGCTAATATAACCTCATAGGGCAGTTGTGAGAATTAAATGAGTTCATATTGGTGACATGCTT